CATACTTCTCCCCGCCGCCAGCCACCGCAAGCTCGGGGGACAGTGGGGGAGGCGCAGCGCATCTTCCTGCTGTCCCCGGACCTGGTCTGAAGGCTGGCGGCGGGGAGAAGAGCGCTTCTCCCCGCTGCCGGCTCCACAAGCGCCTGGGGGGGAATAAATTTTTTTTTCTTTATTTCCCCCCCAAAAAAACTTGGTGCGTCCTATGGGCCGGTGCGTCTATTAGGCGAAAAATACGGTATGTGACTAGGCCGCATCCCATGTTCATGTCTGCAGGAGGACATTTCCTGTACAATCACTACCAAACATGGAAGTAAATCCAATGCTTTTTTTCTAAAACAAATGTTTGGGGGTACTCTTTTTGACTGAAGAAAATCACTATTTTATAGTGCAAATCGGGGAAAATACAGTAAATGGACAAAAGTACAAAGATTCACAAAATGTTTAGGGGTATACGTACCCCAGAAAAAAGCACTGAGTAAATCTAACTCAAGTTTGCACGGCATTTACTTACCGATACGCTGGGTCCAGCTATCAGATGTCTGATACATAGAGTACAAATACTAAGGAAAAACTGCATACTTATGCTGGCAGATAAAAGGCTGGCTCAAAACTACAGTCTTTTATCAACTTTTCCCTCTGCTGCGAGGGAACAAAGGTACTTGTTGAATTCGCACAGCACACCAATGGCTTTGTTTCCTATTGCATTCCAACTGTACAGAATGGCACTATACTCAAAAGTTGTTGCTGTTATTAACTAAATTTATACAGATAGATTAGATATAGATATAAAGTAGTAGCAGTTATTATTTATACAGTGGTACCTTGCAAGATGAATGCCTCGCAAGACAAAAAAACCCGCTAGACGAAAGGGTTTTTTGTTTTTTGAGCTGCTTCGCAAGACGATTTTCCTTATGGGCTTGCTTCGCAAGACGGAAACGTCTTGCAAGTTTGTTTCCTTTTTCTTAACACCGTTAATACAGTTGCGACTTGACTTCGAGGAGCAACTCATAGAACGCGGTGTGGTAGCCTTTTTTGAGGTTTTTAAAGACTTTGGTGATTTTTGAAGCTTTTCCGAAACTTTTCCGACACCATGCTTCGCAAGATGAAAAAAATCGCAAGACGACAAAACTCGCGGAACGAATTAATTTCGTCTTGCGAGGCACCAGTGTACTCCACCATCTGGATATATAGATATGGAGAGAGATACTGCCCTTCATCCTGAAAAACACAGGGCAGCTTTGTAGTATATAAAAAAACACAAGGTAACAAAACCCGGCTGCCCCAGGACGATGTTGGGTGTGAAAGTGCGCAGTAGTGACCCTTACATTTTCCTTGGGGTAATATTTGGATTTTTTTAATTATTATTTTTAAGCGATTGCCTTTGCCCCTCCCCCTTTACGTTTTCAAGCTGTTCTTATTTCTAACATGTGTCTTAAAAGGTAGCGACCCTGAGCATTCTCCTTGGGGGTCATATTTTGGATTTATTTTTTTAAAACGATTGCCTTCCAACCCCCCCCCTCTCCCCTTTACGTTTTCAAGCATTTAGGGAAGCTTTTAATGTTTAACAGACTATTCTATTTTAATATTTTGTTGAAGCCGCCCAGAGCGGCTGGGGAAACCCAGCCAGATGGCATGTGGGCGGGGTATAAATAATAAAGTATATTATTAAAACAAAAAAAATTCCTTCCAGTAGCACCTTAAAGACCAACTAAGTTAGTTCTTGGTATGAGCTTTCGTGTGCATGCACACTTCTTCAGATACCTATTTTCGTATACCTATATTCGTATCTGAAGAAGTGTGCATGCACACGAAAGCTCATACCAAGAACTAACTTAGTTGGTCTTTAAGGTGCTACTGGAAGGAATTTTTTGTTTGTTTGTTTGACTATGGCAGACCAACACGGCTACCTATCTGTAACTGAATTATTATTATTATTATTATTATTATTATTATTATTATTATTATTATTATTATTATTATTACTAACCTGAGTCGCGGGGGTGGGTGGACGGGGACTGCGGGGTAGAAATACATTAAATATATATATTTTTAAAGGGTGAGGAGGCCCACGGAAGTCCCGGGCCACGAGGAGGAGTGGAAGGACCCCACAGATTATGGTGGGTGGGATGAGGGGCGTTTATGAGGGGGTTTCTTTCACAAACAGAGAGACACGCTCTCCGCTTCTTCCCCGCCACGAAAGGATATGATGAGGCGGGGCAAGGCCGTGGGGAGTTGGCCGAGGCCCAGCTCTCGGCCCGGCCCTCCACCTCCGACAGCGGCGGCGTCTCGGGCTCCACCTGCGACATGATGGCGGCGGCGGCGGCCTGGGATTCCTCAGGCGGCGGCGGGCTTCGAAGATTCCCCTCAGCGGCGGCGGTGGCGCCGCTCGAATCCGGCGCCTGGAAGATGAGGCCCAGCCCCTTTCCCGGCATCCCGTCAGGCCTCGCGAGGAAGGAAGGAAGGAAGGAAGGCGGGGACGACGACGACGGCGGCGGCGGAGAGGGCCGCGCGCGCGAGGAGCTGAGGCGGCAGCGGAGCCACGCGAGGCCGGCGGGGAAAGAGGCGCCTGGGAGTTAAGGGGAGGAAATCCCGGCGGGGCAGGCCTCGCCCCAAAGCCCCGCTTTCCCGGGCGCTGCGAGTCATCCTCTTCCTTTTTAAAATAAAAGTCCAACTTGCTGGGCCCAGGCTGTTGAACGACGGACTGGCAAAACCCACCCGAGCCTCCAGTTGCCAAAATTGTGAGGGGTGAGAAATGAACAGCGTAAAGCCTTGAAACGCCTCAGTTTCCCGTCTTGCCTTTCGGTTGCTTTCTGTGGCCGCCCCAGAAAAGGTTATTTCGCCCCTTGCTTAGAGCTTTCCCTAGAAAAGAGCTCGCTAGAAAGAGGAAAACTATGCATTTTCTAAATAAGGTGCAGCTGTGGCTTGTAAGATTATATCTATATCCATTATAGAGATATAATTTTGTATTTATGATTTTCATTTATGTGCATTTCAGTAATTTTTTACAGTCCTAACATTCGACCCTCGACTTCCTCCTCTTTCTGCGGTTCCTTAAATTATTTATTTTTACATTTCCGGCGCACTCCAAATTAACTTGTCCATTTATTCCTCTGCTTTAAATATATGCTCTTAGGAAACGGCAGGTCATTACGACGTGTGAGATATAAATGTTATATGCATTTCAATAATGTTACAATCCTAACATTTTGACCATCAGCTTCCTCTTTCTGCAGTTCGTTAATTAATTATTTTTTACATTTCCGGGCATATTCCAAATTAACTTGTTCATTTATTCCTCTGCTTATTCCTCTTAGGAAACTGCAGGTCATTTCGACGTGTGAGATATAAATGTAAGTGCGTTTTCACATGCATGGCATGTATCTGACAGTCTATTTCATATTCACGTAATAATAATTCTAACGTATGGATTTGCTTCAAAATGGAAGCTCTTCGAAATATAGAAGATCATTGATCCGCTTTGCGTATATATTCTATATCTCAACTTTTGCAGCAGCTTTCCTGGATTTCAGGACAGAGCCTTTAGCAGTGTCAACACCTTGGGATGTCTGAGATTTGAACTTGAGACCTTCCGCATGCAAAGCATGTGCTAAAACCCCTGAGCTACACCTCATCCATCTACCCCCCTTAAGTTCAAAGTCAAGAGGTGCTGCGTTTAAGCTGGCCGAAGTTCGACTCGCACCATCTCTCAGTTGGCAAGAAATAATAGCTTTCATCGACTCTGGATCTCAAAATTTGGGAAAAATTTGGATTTTTCAGATAGGGATTCCTAGGTTGACTCAGGCCCTGAAATGGCACTTGGGGCATAGATCTCGGGAATTAAGCAGGTGGTGGCCTTGCAGATAAAGGATTGGGAGCACAGCCCTGCAAGAGAAGGCTTTGGTGACATGGTGTGAAGCCCCTGGAGAGGGTGCAAAGAATCTGGCTGAACCTTGAAAGGTTTGGGCAGAGTCTCGGTCAACAAGTGAGTGAAGTTCTGTCACTTCTCGGAACCCACAAACATATTTCTTCTCAGACTTGGAGTGTTAGGGGAACCAAGAGCTGCTCACAGTTCTTTTCCACCTCGCTGATGAAACAAACAAGTTAGACAAACAGAAGCCAGGAAAAATTGTGGGGCGGGGGTTGCAATTGGGGTTTATGTAAGAGTACTTTCACATAGTTTGAAAGATGCTGGTGGAGAATGTGGTCACAAACTGATGCCAAATGGGTTAACAGCATACTTAATATTGTAGAGGAGGGAGAAAGGTTGTTTTCTGCTGCTCCAGAGAAGCGGACACGGAGCAATGGATCCAAACTACAAGAAAGAAGATTCCACCTAAACATTAGGAAGAACTTCCTGACAGTAAGAGCTGTTCGACAGTGGAATTTGCTGCCAAGGAGTGTGGTGGAGTCTCCTTCTTTGGAGGTCTTTAAGCAGAGGCTTGACAGCCATATGTCAGGAGTGCTCTGATGGTTTTCCTGCTTGGCAGGGGGTTGGACTCGATGGCCCTTGTGGTCTCTTCCAACTCTATGATTCTATGATTCTATAATATTGCTCTTTGCTGTCCCCATAAGCTGAAACGTAATACTTCTGAAAGCAAAGGCATCGGATTGAAGTTGGTTTGGACAAACCTGTCCTCACAAAATAAAAGGACATATTCTGTCCATAATAGTTTGTTTACTTTGAACAGGGCTTCATAAATTTCCTCCCAGCTGGAGGGAGAGCATCAAAGAGCAGTGTTGGGCTTTGGGGTACATTTTAACCATCCTCAGCTATCCCATCTCAACATTGTGAAAAACAGTAGTAGTATTTTTATATATAGTAATGTTTATTAATTTAATTTAGACCTCCTTCACTGGGAGAGCCCAGTGCACCAAACAGGATACACAATATAAAAACAAAGCAAAAACATTTTAAAACTCTTAACAATATATTTTTTAAAAATGCTGTTATCTCTTTACTCTGTCAAATACATTTCTTTTTTCTTTTTAAAGGAGGCTTTTATTCAAAGAGTAGTGGAGTCTTCATAGTAGAAGATCTCACAGTGAAGACTAGACTGGATCGGAAAACTTCCTATCAGCACAGCACAGCCTACTTCCTTTGGAGTGTCTTTGCGCTTCATGCTTTGCATATAAACTCTTCATTTTACCTGCTTTACAGGAAAATGGCATTTCAGTTCAACTTCTCTATTGACAGTGCAGCAGAAAACGGAATAGAGGCAGTTGGGAATGGAATGGAGGAATTGGTACAGGAGTCTTTAGTCATTTTGGACAAGCAAGAGAACACTACAGGAAAGAGTAAGGAGGTTTCCTCAGAAGAAACAATATTAAACCAGGAGGATTTATCAGAAATCCCTGCTAATGTGGCAGGCAACAGCTTTTTGAGTAAAAGCAACATTATGCCTAAAGAAGGCTTGTGCCTTAAATGTGCCAAGGAACATAATCTCCCTGAAGATTTCCAGAAATTGTTTAAAAACAAAGTTGTGGGGACCCTCCTTCCAGGTACACGCTATGCAAATATTTCTGTGGTGGAGACAGCACCCTCTGAAAACGCTGTTGGGGAAGACATTGTGTCACAAAGTGTTTCTTCTCATTCTGACCTAATCACAGGTGTCTATGAAGGAGGTCTGAAGATCTGGGAGTGTACCTTTGATCTCATGGATTATTTGTCAGAAGCTGAAATTCAGTTTGCACACAAGTTGGTTTTGGACCTTGGCTGTGGGGCCGGGTTGCTGGGAATAGTTGCATTAAAAAGAAATGCCGAACAGGTCCATTTTCAGGACTATAACAGCACTGTGATTGAAGAACTAACCATGCCTAATGTATTGGTCAACTGTGCTAATCAGGGTGATGATGTTGAAGGAAATACTGAGCTTTCTCTAAAACAATGTCCAAAGAAGGACTTTACCCAAGACTTGTTTTCTAAATGCAAATTCTTTTCAGGGGAATGGTCAGAGTTTAGTAATCTTCTATTAAATGGCAGTAAGCCTTTAGCAAAATATGATCTCATACTCACCTCTGAGACTATTTATAATCCAGACTACTATGAGGCTTTGCATGAAACACTTTTAAAATTACTGAGAATTAATGGGTGTGTTTATTTAGCTAGCAAAGCACATTACTTTGGATGTGGAGGTGGGGTCCACCTTTTTACAACATTTATTGAGAAGAAAAATGTGTTTAAGTCTAGAATTGTTAAAGTTATTGACAAAGGCCTAAAGCGTTTCATTATTGAGCTGGTTTTTAAGAAATCCTGTTAACGTGATCAATGTGTTAGTAAATACTTTATTGTTGTTTTGCTTTCATGCAGCTCTTAGAGTAAATTGCTAACACATTTTTCTTGATTTATGGTTGTGAATTTGTTCCCTGATCCTATTGATTCTGCATCTACAGAGTCTTTGCTAGAAATTATATTCTTTTTTAAAAAAACAAAACAGTTTTGAGATCAATTGTTCTGAATACACCAGTGTTTCCCAACCTTTTTTGGGCAAAGGCACACTTGTTTCATGAAAAAAATCTCGAGGCACACCACCATTAGAAAATGTTTAAAAAATTAACTCTGTGCCTATATTGACTATATATAAAGTAACTCTCTTTAATAGGAATCAAATAAACACAAAGAAAGTATTTTATAATTACTTTATTATGAAATAGTAAGTAAACAGAAATATGAAAAATTATAAAATACTTTATTCAGTGCGCAACCTGGGCCTGTTTGGCTGAACACAAAGCTGATATTCTGGCTGGAATCGAAGAAAGACACACACGTAGCTCTTCGTCAACAGCTCTCAGTCTCTCTCTGTATTTAGTTTTTATAGCAAATGAAGGAAGAGTAAGCAGGCTGGGGTGGGTTAAGTAAGGCTG